ACACACACACACACACACACACACACACACACACACACACACACACACACAATGTATAGGCTAGCTGTTGTGTACCACCTCTAGAATACTGGGATTACAGAAGTGATACCAGGCCTGGCTTGCATTTATAAATAATGGCTTCTAAGTCATAACTTATTTATGTATTAATGTTCATTACACTGCAACTAAGATACTTTAAAGTATTCCTAATACCACATAGAATAGTCCAAACAAATGCTACATCCTCTATTACTTGGAGAAGAATGAAAATATCATTCAGCTAGTCATAAAATAAAAATTTAAAACATGCTGTCAGAATACTGAATCAGTATTCAAAACAATGGCAGTGTGGCTTGATACTCATGTGGATATCGTAAAGTACCCCAGGATCATAATTGACCTCACCAGAACACTTCACCATTCTCCTGAAGCAGGCCTCTCATGGCCCCACAGAAGTAAATGGGAGAACGAGATGACTGAGGATGACAGCTGGCCAGGCATTGTACTACTATGTAACAAGAGGTCCCATCAAAGGAACTTTTGGGCTCAGGCAAAAGACAACTAGCATCCCTGCCTACAAGGCTTACCCTGAGACACTAATGGATTCCCTGAGGGGGCTAAGATCCAGAAATGTTTGCGTGGCCAGGAAATGAGGAGATGACCATCCAGCCAAGGGTCTCATCCATTCTCTAGAAGGCAGGTGATGCCAAGGGGGGGGAGACCCAGGCCTTGCCTGGAGAAGACTGGTGGGTGACCATGTAACCATTTTGTGCCAATGGCTCTGTGGCTCACATGTGTAGTGGTATTTGGTTAGCCCACTCTGTTCCTGACAGGTCACATGCACCCACCTAAGAGTTATTTGGATTTGTGAATGAAAGACATACATATATGTTAGTCAATTTTGGTACGTCTTGGCTAGCTCAAAGGCTGGGCACTTCTAATTCTTCCTGTGGCTAGTAAACACTCCCCTCTGGTATTCCAGAGTTAACATCTTTAAAATCTATATTTCACCTATGTTACCCCAGACCCAATGGGGAAGTGGCCATTAGAGCCATTTACCTAAATTTTTATATGGCTGGTCTGTCCTATACCCTTCTCATGGTGATTCTCTTCTTCCTCTCTTCTCTCTCCCAAGCTTGGGAATCTTAAAAGTCCTGGCTCTGTCTGTCTGCCTAGCCATTAGCTGTTGCATCTTTATTTACCAATCAGAATCAACTGAGGGCAGGGTCCCTCAGTGTCTTACATGTAGACACTCATGTAAGCAGTTTAGGGGAGCAAAATTAACATCATAACACAAGCAGCATTAGGCCACACCCACTTCATTTCCCCCTTTTTGTCCAATTAAAAGGGGTTTTTTCACTCAGACATAAATTGAGTACAACTGTAATGATTATGTAAATTATAAAGAATGATGTATAATTAACATCTAGTTTATCATATTTGTTAATTAGATAAAGTATTTTATTATCTATTTTAACTTAAAGAGCTTATAATTTTATATTTGAATTATGTTTTGATTTTAGCTTGCATTACCATCCGAAAACCATTCTTTTAAATCTATATCATCTCTCTCAATGCTAAACAACTTGAGTTTGATTATGAGACTATAACTAGTTTTCAGTTCAGTCAGAAATCTCAAAATGAAACAAATACAACCTAAATATATAGGAAGCACAAAAACACAGCTTCTAAAACTTAAATACATTAAAGAGACAGCTGACTACCTGGACAGCCCCTAACTTCTTACAGTGTTGGAACATCTGTCTTCAGCCTTCTGTCCTAGAACCATCTGACAGACCTTAAGTGAAGCAGGAATATGAAGGACTAGCTTACCCTGTCTTGGCAGAGCTTAGTAGTTTACTATCCCACATCTGTTTGTCTTCTTTAGATAGTATTTTGTCTATAGATGAATAGAGCAATTTTCGTTTAGTGGCTACCTTGTCATTATTGGAGTAACTCTATGTGGAGGTTTTGATGTTTAATTTCTTCTTTAAACCCTGAAGGCAGTATTGTCAGGAGCAGACATGTCTCTAGTTGACATTTCTTAAAATAATTAAATGATTAAATGTCAGATTTTGTGGATTTTTTATGTTTTTGAAACTATCAATGTAATGGTAGCTATTAGAAAGATTGGGTCTAAGCCTTGTATTTTTAAATGAGTTGTATAGGCACAATGTCCATTTAAGAGTAACAATATTAATTTTAAATTTTGCATCAATATAGAAATTTATACCAAAGAAAAACTTAAATCTGTATCAATCTATAAATTCTGTACCAATGCACTCATGTAAACAGTTTTGGAGACCAAAATTAACATTACTTATAACACAAACAACATTAGGCCAAACCCATTTCACACCTGGAACATGAGGAAAAAAAATGCTATGAAAGCCAGGATAAGCACATGTGTATCTACCTTATAAGGCAGGGGCATTTTAGAAAATGAGAACAATGATGTTAAGGTTGGAATATTCTAGAACCAGGGAAAATTGGAACTTAGTGTGCATGTGGCATACAGGCAGGATGAGAGTATCTGTCTGGAAGTTCAAGCTCACTGAGGTCAAAAGGACACTACATATCATGATTCAAAAGGACACTACATATCATGATAGAGAATGGTGGAGTGTTTCTCAAAAACATGTGAGAGCATGTGTGAGGACGTGTGAAAACTTATGCACAGGATCTAAAGAACATATACAGCCAGGCAGAGTAGTATATGCCTTTAATCCCAGCATTTGGGAGGCAGAGGCAGGTGGTTCTCTGTGAGTTCAAGGACAGCCTGGTCTACAAAGCAAATTCTAGGACAGCCAGGGCTACACAGAGAAACCTTGTCTCAAAAAGCAAAAACCACAACAAAAACCAACCAACCAAACAAACAAAAGAACATACATAAACATACAACATACAAGATCACAGAGGATCATCATTTAAGGTCATACAACATAAAGGATCATGGAAGAACATCTAAGAATATCATATAAGAACATACATAGATCATAAATAAATCCAAAAAGCACACAAGAATATCCACCTAAGAATATTATAAAAGAACATACATCATCATAGAAGATATTCATTTTTTTGTTTGTTTTTTTTTGTTTTTGTTTTTTGAGACAGGGTTTCTCTGTGTAGCCCTGTGGGTTCCTGGCTGTCCTGGAACTCACTCTGTAGACCAGGCTGGCTTCGAACTCAGAAATCCGCCTGCCTCTGCCTCCCAAGTGCTGGGATTAAAGGTGTGTGCCACCACTGCCCGGCATAGAAGATATTCATATAAACACACACAAGAACACAGGAGATCATAGAAAAACATCAGAACATTACACAATATAAGGATCATATAAAAGTCTAGAAAAGCACAGAATATAAGATTATAAAAGAACATCATATAAGAACACACATGATCATATAAGCACATACAAGTTCACAGATAAACATTTAAGAACATATACAAAACATGAAATCATAGAATCTAAAGATGTCATATAAAAGCATACAAGATCATAGAAGAATATCTAAGATCATATAAACGCATACAAGACCATAAAAGAATATCCTATAAGAACTTACAGGATCATAGAAAATCATTATATAAAAACATAAAAGGTTATAAAGAACACACATGCCATGTGCCCACATGCTAGAAGAATGACATACAGGACAGGTATCCCTTTAGAAATAAAGTCCCTACTGTGGTTCTAAAGGTCTTTCAGGATCCAGGACAACAGTTCTCCAGAAAGAGAATGAGGTATGTCCACAATTTCTCCAGAGAACTCTTCTTCCTTGGGGCTCTGTGTGCTATGAGGCTAGGTCAGGAAAGTTTGCGAAATTATTGGAGATGGTGGGGGTCACCCCTACAGGAAAGTCCAGGATCTGGGAGTGAGATTGGGCGAACACTTCTTAATCAATTCCATTCTAATCATGCCACACTTCCACAAAGCTTGCTTTTCTTTTATTAAAAAGGTATTCACCGAGACTTTTCACTTCTGCACCTACTTAGACTTAGAAGATAGCCAGAAAGCAGAACATATAGACTCAAGCTCCAAGATAGGTCACATCAACATGAGCACAGTGACCTAAAGTCCTCAGAAGCTGATCATTTAGACTTCCCTCACGTCATCCCTAAATCCCCACTCACCACCAACTTTCTCCTGATTTCCTTTTCCCTCTTTTAATTTTTTTGTTTTTTGAAACAGGGTTTCATGTAGACCAGTCTGGGGTCCAACGCCACATGTAGCCAAAGCTAGTCTTAAACTCCTGGCCCTTCTGCCACCATATCCCGCAGGCTACAATTACAGGCATGTATTACCATGTCCAGTTTTGGCTACTGAGTCTTCCACACTTGTCCCAGTTTGTCAGTGCCTATCAGGTCACTAGGCCCACAGTGATATACAGAGAAGCCTGATCTACACAGGACAGTCTAGGGTGCGAAGGGGATGAAGCCTTGAGTGCTGGGACTCAAAGATAACATACACCCAACACCAGAAGTATTGTCTGATAGGGATGGTCTGCTCACCAGAGCTAAGCTTTGGTGAAGTTAAGGGCAAAGATCAAAGCTTGCTGTGTCTTGTCAGTACATCTCACTACAGACAAATAGAAAGCCTGCTTCTGTTGGTAAGATTTACATAGGGAAGATAAAGCAATGGTAGAAAATATGACAAAAGTCCAGTCTTTTCTCACTAAGCAAGATGATATTTATTTACTTTGTATGTATGTGTGTGCAAGCCACAACATATATGTGGAAATCAGAGGACAACTTTTGGGAATCTTGGGAGTGGAATTCAGGTCCTCAAGATCAACAACCTTTCTCTACAGAACCATCTCATGGGCCTCAGGTTCTTTGCTTCTACTATTGGGATGGAAATGGACTCATGACCAGTGGTTTCCAGCTGCGCTCACTGCTTCCTAGTGCTTCCTTGGGACCAAATCTATCAATCAAGAATTCTATTTCCAACAAAACTATCTTTCAGGCCAGGCGGTGGTGGTGCACGCCTTTAATCCCAGCACTTGGGAAGCAGAGGCAGGCAGATTTCTGAGTTCGAGGCCAGCCTGGTCTACAGAGTGAGTTCCAGGACAGCCAGGGCTGTCTCTGTGTTCTACACAGAGAAACCCTGTCTCAAAAAAAACAAAACAAAACAAAACAAAAAAACAAAAAACCCCTATCTTTCAAAAGTGATCTAGAAATTAAGACATTCTTAGACAAACAAACATAGTAGCCCAGCGGTGGGCCTACTGAAATCCTGAAATCCACAAAGGAGAGTTAACAGTAAGCACCTGTGTACCCAGAGTTAGAAGGGAGCAAAGTCCTGAGCAAATAAGTATTACTGACATGGGCACAGGAATGTCAAGGGTCCTGGAACCTTAGACCCATGGAGAAAATGGCAAAATCTCCCAGGGAGTGAGGCTCCGAGGGAAGATGGCAAAGCCTTCCCTTTTGGTCCATGTGTGGATGTTGATAGTGTGTGCAGAAAACATCCACCAGGCAGATATTTAGGGCCTGGACACTGCTCTTACAAAGATCAGTTAAACCTGCCTCCTCGATCATTCATCATTCCACAAATTCGTTAGGATTGATGAGATGGAAAGATTACATGCAAATGTAGAGAGTGAGACTGAAAATACATTGAGAAAAGGCCCACGCCTTCATGAGAAACCACTCAGTGATTAAAACCTGACAAAAGGCTGGCCCGTGGTGGTGCACACCTTTGATCCCAGTGCTCGGGAGGCAGAGGCTGGTGGATCTCTCTGAGTTTGAGGCCAGCCTGGTCTACAGAGTTAGTTCCTGGACAGCCAAAGGTATACCAGAAAACCCTGTCTCAGAAAACAAAAAAACCATGACAGACAACTAAAAGATGGCCTGACAGAAAAAACACTTGCCAGGTCTGCATGTATGAAGACTTCAGTTCTAATCCCAGGAATCCATGAACAAGACAAGCAGTCACGGAAGCCCAATTCTAATCCCAGGAATCCATGGACAAGACAAGCAGTCACGGAAGCCCACCGGGAATCCTAGTACATGGAAGCAGAGATAGGGGATCCCTGGGGCAAACTGGCCAGCTGGACTAGCCAGAATTAGTGAGCTCCAGTTTCAGTGGGAGGCCTGGCCTCAGTAAATAAGTGGGAAGTGATGACAGAAAACACCTGATGTCAAGTTTGAGCTTCCACACATGTTCAAACACATATTTATGTCCATACTTATGAAAGCACACACATATATACACATGCAAATAAACAGACAAAAGGCAGCTGAGGAGCAAGGAGCTCATGTCCTACAGAGACAGCTCTGCTCTGCCTAGGATTCAGAGCAGGAAGAATCAGTTGGATCAGCACACTACAGAAACACACAGAGAGGCTCAGGTCACACAGTGGCTTTAGGGGAAAGTCACCAAACAGGCTGAGAGGTACATGTGAGACTGCTGTTAGGGATTTCACATGAATTAAACTGACATAGCCTCTGCCTCCATTAGAGGCAGGGGAGCCATCCTAAGTCGGGCTGGGAATGGTGAGCTGGCAGGGAAGCACAGGAGTGCAAGTGGCTATGAATGAGCCAGAGTTTAATGAAGTCCTCTGAAGTTTGCAGTTGCTGCCCACCAGTGATTTGCTCCTAAGTACCGCTCCCTGGGATCCTGCATCTCTAAAAATACTATTTGCTTTTTATTTAACACTGAACCTTTTGATGTTTTAGAATATAAGAATAGTAAGTGTCTTATTATTTTAAAAGCTTAGGAGAGCAACTAGCCGTATTATGAGAGAAAGAAGATATAGGCAGAACAGTCTGTTCAAATAGCAGGAGGTGTGACTTTCCAAATTCACATTTCAGTCTTTATTTACATAAGACTTTTAGAAACAGTGGGTGTAAATATTAAACCGCCTGAGCCTGAGTCAAATTTTATTGAGAGTAACTACAAATAAAAGGAAACTGATTTTTTAAAGTCAGTTTCTGAAATTTAGATGAAAAGAATATTGAGCATTAACCAAAAAAAAAATGATATTTACATATCAATGTAGGTTTTCTGCTCATAGATTCATTTCCTATGAAACTAAAGGAGGCAAGCTTGGGGAATTACAAAGGAACAGAAAACCCTAAGCAAACAGGTACTGTTGTTCAAACAGAATATTAGCCAAAATGATCCAATCAGGTGCTTGAGCTAATTTTTTTTCTCCTTTAAGCCATTCATTCCAGAACACAAGCTCTACGAGTGTTAGGAATTCACACGAATTCCAAATGTGCTTCTGACAGACAGGAGGAGTTGAAAGCTATATCTCATGTAAATGAGGTTGGGGGCAAGAAACAGAACTAGTCAGTCGCAACTAGAGAGGTGATTTAACCACAGTGGGTTGGAGGGTGGGGGCAATTCTCAAGAAAAGTATGACCTATTTGCATCCTAGGGTATATCTGGCAGCCATGGGAACCAACCTAAATAAACTGAATTCAAATGACTGCATCTTGATCAGAACTGCAGCACACGTGCAACACGATGCTCTACCGACAGACAACAGAGGGTAGCAAAGCACACCTCCATGGAGGAAGCACAGCACTGAAGTTCTGCACTGCTCTGATGACTTCAGCTACTCAGATTCCCGTGAATGGCAGCTACCAGGGTGCCGGGTCTGTCTAGTGCAAAACTCAGTGCCTGTCATTGTAAAAGCCAGCAGCCAGTCAGCTGAAGACGCTTGTAAGTTACAGACTCAATCTTTTGCTCATCAGGAACAGCAATTCACTTCTCTGAAGATCTTTAGGGGGCAATCTCTGAAACTCAGACTCAGACACAAGCTCACTCTCCTGGTTTCTATGTGGAATTTAAATACAGTTCTATTTTATTGCAATATTGAGATTTCAAATTTAAAATAAAAAACCCAAGAATTACAGAGGTTATCAAAAACATATTAACTTGTTCTTAGAGTGAGTTCAATATTAATAACAAAGGCATTATTATGCTAATATACACTTTATGATATTCCGCCCTACAGCAGAGGCTGAGAACTGACTGGCGGTCTTTGACCTCCCTTTACTTTGAACTGATGGTGTGAACACTATGCTTCCTTCAGAAATCTACAGCTTATGCAAAGTTTATGGAGACACACTAGAAAAATTTAAGCAGAAGAGGGAAAACCCAATGCTGACTGCCACTGAGATAACTGATAATTTAAATAAGGTCATGTCTCTTCTCCAAGATGACCTTCAGGGTCTGTATTTTAGTCTAGCAGAGGGTCAACTTCTTTTCCTCAAGGTTGCTTTCTAGTCATCAGCACCTGTACACATGTACACTACATGAACGTTGCTTTTTAGTAGGAATTTTTAAAATATTTATAATTTCTATTTCTGAATATGAAGCCGGAACAGTTTTTAACCTCAACAGAGTAAGAATAGCTAAGACTAGCTCAAAGCAACCTTTAGTTTTATTTACATTTCTCATACCTTATGTATGTAATTACAGATTTTATTGACTGCTTTACAGATCTGATGTGTAAGAACTCTATGGCTTATGTCACAGTGAGGTCACACTTACAGATTCCCCCGCGATACATCTCAGGCAAGGCTGGGCTGAACTCCTTCCACCGTTCTGCAGAATCTATTAAACGAATCACAGGCATACGTGCATCAGCCCAGGGAGAGTCACGGTTTTATTAAATAAATTCTATGGGCTCACAGTAGGTTGGCTGGCAAGAGGGACCTACCATTGAGCTCAGCCGCTCCTGGCTACACTCTGGTTGTGGTGCAGGCAGGCCTCGTGGCCTTGACTCCTGGTCCTCTGTGCTCCAGGACAGCAGGGCACAGGTGGTTAGCATGTGACCGCTGCACTCATGTCCACCTGCTTCTGACCTCCTGCACGCCCGTTTCTGAAAAACAAAATTTCACTTCAGATGACCTCAGGCTACATATAGCACTGACTGAATTTACTTTTGGAAAACTTCAGCTCCAAAACCAGAGCCCGGTGAAGGTGGAAAACTTTATAGACCATGTATGGAGATGCCTTTCAGGACTAACAGCCATCACTTACATTTAACCTTGTTAGTTCAAGCACTGTCTGTAGTTACTTGCCTTGATAGATTTAAAATAGTCATTTTAAACAATTTTGGCTGAAATTCTGGTAATAAACTATTGTGACTGGTTTATTGAAAATGTACCAAACCTATAAATTCTGTCCGAGGAACTACTTATATGCTTCAACACATCGTGCTTAGCGTCGAGCTGCATTCGTTCTTAACGCAGTACACATGGCTCACTTGTGAATAATTCTCTTACTGGCAGGGAAGAACAAATTACTTTTATTGATCTCAGAGTCTGCACACACAGCCTGTAACCAGGTAATTTGGGAGAAAGGTAACATTTGGATTTGCATCCACATGAAGTAAAGAAGGTTAATTACAAGGGTAGTCAGTCTTTCAACACTTCAGAACAAAGTATCATGTCCTAACACCCCAAGACACATTCCTAGAGCCATCATGCTCTGGGTGACAGTCAGGAGGACCCCTGGAAACACTCGCCAATCTCAGCCCAGGGTCAGCATGCCCCTCTTGTAGCCACCCAGAAAGGCCTATTTCTGGACACCTCCCAAGTCAGCAAACATTTCCTACTATGGTCTGCTGCTCTCCAACGTCTATATTCAGTTGTAAACCACTGTCCTTGCCAAGAATGAGTTTCCTCAACTGTTTATTATCTACGGTATTATTTATTTAATAATTCCTAGTGGCTTTTAAATTTTATTTATTCATTGAAAGTTTCAAATATACAGTGAGTTTTAGTTGTGACCATCTATATATTAGTTATTTTTTTGCTATGATAAAATAATAAAATAACCTATTTTCTATATTTCTATTTTTGTTATGATAAAATACCATGGCTAAGGCAACTCAGAGAAGAAAGTTCCAGAGGTTTCTTGTGACTGGTCATAACGGTGCAGCAAAGGGATGGTGGTGGGAGCAGAAAGCTGAGAGGGTAAATTCCTTTTCGGTTTGTTGTTTCAAGACAGGGTCTAGTCTCAAACTCACAGTGATTCACTTGCCTCTGGCTCTCAAATACTGGGATTAAAGGTGTGTGCTACCACACCCAGCTTTCATAATCTTTACCACAAGCATGAAACTTGGAATGGTGTCTTTAAACTCTCAAAGCCTGAGCCCAGTGACACCTCCCTCCTCCAAGGCCACACCTTTCAGTCCTTCCCAGAGAGTTCCACCAGCTGGGGACCAGGTATTCAAACTTAAAAGCCTATGGGGAACAGTTCTCATTCAAATCACCACATTCCAATTCATGACCACCATGGGCTGTGGCCAGCCTGGTCTACAGAGTGAGTTCCAGGACAGCCAGGGCTACACAGAGAAACCCTGTCTCGAAAAAACAAAACCCCCCCCCAAAAAAAAGTAAAAAGCAAATTACATACTTCCAACATACAATGATGCAGAATATATATTACCATTCCAAAAGTGAGGGATGGGCACAGTGAGGAACTCCTGGATGAAAGCAGGATGGAAACCCAGCAGAGTAAACTCCAAAGGTTGCAGTTTCATGTATGATGTCATAGGGCTTAGATGGCTTGGCCCCTCCAGCTTTGCTGTGTGCAGCTCCATCTCTCACCCCACATCACTTCTTCCACTGATATCACTATTCTTTGGGAAGAAATCCCCTTCTAACTCCATGTCTTTGAGGGCGTGTATTGTACACATTTTGATTAGGTTTAATTACAGTTGTTAGCATGAGAATGAGTAGGAAGTTATTAGTGGTGCATAGGACTAACATATGAATGGTGTTCATGGATCTCCTAGTAATGAGCCTGCCTTTCATTTATAGAAGTCCTTCCTGGTCATAGTGTGTGCCTTGTCAGTGGGCACACCACTGACAAAAGTGGCACTTCTCCCTCTACCCCAACAGCCACCATCAACTGCCAATCGTCCTATCAGAGTTGGAGGAAATATTTCACTATGGGTGTATGGGATTGACTACTAGATTTACCACAGGCATACCCAGAAGCTAACCTAATATAAATAATCCTTTCTGGATATACCTAGAGGTTTGTCTGATTCCAGACCCTGTCAAGTTGACAATCAACACTAACCATCATAAATACTAAGACAAAAAGTAAAGTCTAAAGAGACAGGACCTCTACCATCACATTAAGGAAGGCACACACTAGGACCAGGGAGGACTTCTAGAAATGAAAGATAGGCTCAATAGGAGATAGGATAGGAGATCCATGAACACCATTCACATGTTAATCCTTGTAAGGAAAAACAATGGCACAATTATCTCTAGAGATACTAAACATCAGTTGAAACTAAGCCCATTTATGACAAAAAAAAACACACTCTCGTTGAAACCCTGGATCACATGCCAACCCAGCCACAAAACCTTCAACCCACAATTTGTCTTGCCTACAAGATGTGCTAAGGTAAAGGTGGTGTAGAAATTGTGGGAGTGGTCAATCAGTGACTGGTCCAGCTTGAGACCCATGCCACAAGAGGGATCCTACTCTTGACACTGCCTGAAGGGCCAAGATTCAGAAGCTAGATAGCCCAGTCTCCTAGGATAGAACCAAATACAACTGGCAAAGAAAAAAAAAGTCAATGAAATGGTTCCTTTTTTTTTAATTTAATTTTTTTCAATGAAATGGTTCCTAATGATATTCTGCTATGCTCATGGATTGGTGTCTAGCCAAGTTGCCATCAGAGAGGCTTCACCCAGCAACTGATGGAAACAGATGCAGAGACCCAGAGCCAAACATGAGGCAGAGCCAGGGAGTCCTGTGGAAGAGAGGAAGGATTGTGGAGCCAGAGATGTAAAGGACACAATAAGAAAACCCACAGAATCAATAACCTGGGCTCATGGGGGTTCAGAAACTGAACCAACAACCAGGGAGTCTACATGAGACTGGCCTCTGTAAGACAAGTGGGTCATGCCATCAGATAGACGTGAGAACTGGCAAGGCTGAGTGACCTCAGATCCTAGGAATCTCAGAGATCTGAGACTGGCAGGAGTGGAGTTGCTCCCTATCTGTCCCTGTACCTGCTCTGGAACATGTAACCACAATGACCCACTGAGAGATCCTTGGGTAGACAGTCACTGTAAAGTAGCACCTAGAGTCCTTCCCCATGCAAACAGAGTATCACTAACATCTCAAACTCAGCCAATGAGAAACATTTATCCCTAAATCCCACCCTACTCCTCAAGGTTTATATAGTCCCTGTCTACACTGAATAAAGCACACAAGTCATTTTACCAAAGACCATCTGCAAGTGGCAATTTTTACTGAGCTTAACACTTGGTTAAGAGTTCTCTGTCCAAAACATTCATTGCTGGATCTTGGACTCACCTGGCTGTCACCTCTGTGGTAGCTGACAAGAGACATAGTACATTGGCTGCCTGGCCAATGCAGGCCACTCAAACCTCCTCTCTTCTCTTCTAAGAGCTGTAACCCAGCATTCCCAGCCAGACCAGTGCCCCGTGAAACTTATCTGTCTCTGGCTCCACCTTGCTCTCCTTGGTCTGGTTTGGCACTGAGACCTCTGACACCTGAGGGAAACAGGCAAGTCAGCAGATGACAACCCATATGTTAAGAGTTGTGTAGCTTGGGAATCTTAAAAGTAGGAGCCAGAGCTGTTTCTGACTCTTTTGTCTGCTTTTGGGACCCTTTTCCTCCTACTGGGTTGTCTCCTCAGCCTTAATACAAAAGGAACTTACTAACATTTGATATGCCATGTTTTGTTGATATCCATGGAGGGCTGCCCTTTTCTGAAGAGAAAGGGAAGAGAAGTGGTTGGTGGGGAGAGGGAAGGATGAGAGGAGAGGAAGGAGGGGAAGCTGCAGTCAGGTCACAATATATGAGAGATGAATAAATAAAAAAATTAAAATAAAGAAACAAAGAAAAACCTAAGCTAAAACAGGAAGCAAGGATGTACATGCTTTAAGGTCTTCTTTCAATCTTAATTTATTTCTTACTTATGTGTCTGTATACGTGTGCTTGTGTGAGTTTATGTCTACCACAAGCATGCAGGTGCCAGGAGACCCCAAAAGCTAGAGTCACAGGTAGCTGAAGCTCCTGAGGGGTGTGGTTACAGGCATTCACTATCAAACCTGGCTTAAAGAATTTAACATTCTTGGGGTGAGGGGGAGTTGTTCGTTTGTTTTTTTTTTTTTTTTTTTTTTTTAATAAAGTCTTACATGGTTAGCCTTGAACGTGCTATGTAGCCAAGGATCTCTTTGAACTGATCTTCCTGTTCCTGCCTCAGCAGTGAAGAGAGTACAGGTAAGTGCCCCATCCCAGCTTAAAACATTCTTCAAGGCATAGAGTACATGAGAACTAATGCTGAAAGTCTCCTACTCTTAAATAGAATGACCTGAGACTACAAAAATGAGAATTCTCCCTAAGTTAACTCGAAAATTCTGCATAAATCCCAGCAAAAGTACCAACAAGCTATAAATATTTCATGAGTAACACAAATAGACAGTAAAGGGCACAGGGAAGAAGCACACAGCCAGAAGGGAAGAAGAGCAAAGCTAGAAGCACCGGGAGAAAATCACTCTGGACATTAAAACATACCATGACTGTATAATTATATCAGATGGGGACTTGTGCCAAAAAAGGGAGGGGGAAGGGCTTTTAAAAAATTCATTTATTTTATTTTATGAAAATGTGCATTTTGCCTACATGTCTGTATATGCACTATCTGTGTCCCTAGTGCCTGTAGAGTTGAGAAGGCTCTTCAGACCCCTGGAGCTAGAGTTACAGTGCTTGTGAGCTGCCGTGTGGGTGATGGGAACTGAATCTAGGTCCTCTGCCAAAACAAACACCTCAACCACTGCGCTACCTCTCCAGCCACTTCCTTCTTCTTAAGGACAAAGTTTT